CTGGCAAAACAGTTAAATGAGCAAAAGGTACAATCATGAAAAGTTCTGCAACATCACTTAAATGAACCGAATTAATAATTCAGCTCCACTAATTGATTGTGCGCCCTTGAATGATTTTTTTTTTTACTCCTAGTGACCACATAGATTTGTTCCTAACCTGATCTTTTAGGTCTTCCCACAGTGAACTCATTGTTATCGTCACTGAGGCTGAACCCATCCCGCTTCTCTCCTCTTTCAGTCTTTCTCAGCGGTTCCCCGACAAATGCGCGCTCGACAAAAGCACGCCCGACGAAACCGCGGCGACAACAGCGCGCCGACAGAAGTGCGCTCTAAAGCTAACCCTAAAGCTAACCCTAAACCTAACCCTAAACCTAACCCTGACCCTAACCCTAACCCTAACCCTGAACCTAACCCTAAAACTAACCTGAAACTAACCCTGAACCTAACCCTTACCTTAACTTAAATCGTGCTTCCGTCGGCGCGCTGTTGTGGGCGCGCTGTTGTGGGTGTTGCAGTTTTCATGCCTCTGTTTCGTCAGCGCGCTTTTGTCGTGCGCGCATTTGTCCGGTCACGTTTCTCAGCCTTAGAGTCTTTTCCAGATTGCTAGGTCTTCTGCATAATAATTTGATTCTGGTCATTTGTACCTCACGTAAGAATGTGTTGGTTTGGTTGAAGATCTCCTGGTTTGTTTTCTTGGCTGTCCATGGTAGTTTTAGGAGTCTTCTCCAACACCCAAGAGCAAAGGCCTCAATACTCTTCTTATCCTGCATTTTCAAAGTCCAGTTAAGCCAAATAGCAATGCTCATGTCAACTATTTAAAACAGTCTCATTTTAAATGCTGTATTGTATTCTCAACATATAATTTGATAGCATATGTGATTCTTAACAGATAAAAGAAATAGATTCAGCAGATCTAAGCAACGTAGTGCTTTTCTCTATTGGTTTACTTAAGTTATTCAGAAGGAGGCGGTTAGAAAATGTATGCCTTAAAATATATATTTTTAAAAAGCATTATTGAATGTTGAGTGCCACTACTTATTTTATAGATGCTGGTGTCTGAAATAGAGATGAAACAAAACAAACTAGATGAATGTCAGAAATACTCAGAACAGTATTCAACTGCAGTGAAGGTAAACCTGCAATTGTGTGTGTTTACTTATTAAAGTGAAAATAATTGTCCGTACAGATAGCTCTTGACTTGAAACCGTTTGTTTAGCGACTGTTTGAAGTTATGTCACTGAAAAAAGTGACTTATGATCGTCACAACATCCCCAAAATTACTTGGTCAAAATTCGGGCGCTTGGCATCCAGCATGTATTTATAATGGCTTCAGTGTCCTGGGGTTAGCATGATTTCTATTAGCAACTTTCCCAGCCAGTTTCTGGCAGGCAAAGTCAGTGGGAGAAGCCAGATTCACTTAACACCACTTGATTCACTTAATAACTGCACTGGTTCTCCTAACAAATGTGGCAAAAGTTGTAAAACCAGATACGACTCACTTTTTAACAACTACAGGGCGGGGCATAACCTTTTCCTAGGGGGTCACAGCAAGATCGACAGCAGTTTACAACTTCCGCGACACC